TGCAATTGAAAAATCATAATAAAAATAGGAATTATTAGAAAATAGTTGAAAAACAGCAACAATGTCACTCAGTTGGAACAAATATAAGAACAGGTTGTATAATATTAACCATTTTAACATTTTTAAGTGGAAATATATGAAAATATATTTTAAATATCCAAATCAAACAGAATGTTTTTCATGGTGCTGAATATATATATATATATATATATATATATAAACACACCTGTATTAAAAATAAAAGAAACCTAATTCTTTTGTAACTAGAGATGTGACCTGATGAACCAAGAAAATTATATTTTCTGGGGAAATAAATTATAGTCACGGAACCTTAAGATTGTCTCTTTCTTAATTATTTAATATATATGCATCAACTTCAGATGCTCTTGTATATATAAGATATGCACAAAAGTTCTCAGAACCCACTTTTTGAAAACTATATAGGGGAACAAAGTAGACATTTTTTTTTTTAAATAAAACTGAAAACATGATATTATTTGCACATATCTGGAAATTTGAAAAGGTCTAAATTCATCTCTTCTGATTGTTCTAGAAAGTATTTTGACATCTTTTTTCTTAAATTATCAGAGAAATTACCAATTAGCTTTAAATACATTTAAAATTATCTTAAAAACAAAAAAACAATCTGATAATTATTCTTAATACATAAGAACATTTTTTATCTAGTTATATAAATTTCATAAATGAAATAGACGTTTTAATTTTTTTTTTTTTACTGCAAAAGAATGCTTTTTTCTTCATATCTTAGTTGACAAAACTTTTTCTGGCAGAATTCTAGAAAATCTCCATTTGGAATAATACAGGAGATCAGAGTATGTTTTTCCAATGAATATAAAGAGTAAAATTTAAAAAATATAAACTAAATTTTGGTAACTAAGTGAAAACAAATTTTCTTCAAAATTCCAGTTGCTTCTTAAAAATTAAAAAAAAAAAAATTAAAAAATATCACTTAAAAGACTAAAATTTGATTGAATAAGACGTTATCTCTTACCTACATTTAATAAAATCTTAAACATACAGTTAACTTAGACACTTTCAAACTGTTCAACAAAAGTAAAACCATAAGGTATTACTATTATTATTCATAGCTTAAATTTCTGAAAGACATTTTGTTGAAGAAAGTGAATAGTAGGAAAGTAGCCAAAAGCAATTGGCAAAACAAAAAGAAAAACTGCTTCAATGTGCTTGTAACTTGCATATGGGCACTTAAAAAGGTTTGTCTTGGTCTTGCATATGACATTTTATAATTAGATACCAGAAAAAAAAAATTGTTTAAACTTTTATAAAAAATATATTTAGTATCACTTGAAGTGGGGAAGGAATGAAATAAAATCGGAAAAGAAAAAGAACTGAACCTTTTCCATTTTTAACAGCAAATTCATGAGTATTTTCTATGCACACATCGCCCAAACATTTTTTTTAGTCATTGTTAAAAGAGCGCACACTTTCATTTCATAAGAGTAAGAAATGCTTGTTGTAAGCTAACATTGGATATCATTCAATTTCAGTTAAAAGATTTCCCATTTTATTAAATTTCAACATGCAGGAAAAATATACTCGGCATATTCACTCCAAAATCAAATCTAAAGTTTTTTTTTTTGTTTTAATCAAATCAAGAGCACCTGAAAAGTGTATAAACAAGAAAAATGATACCTTCCGTTTGATAATAAAATTACAAAAAAAGAAAATACACCTATTCTTAAAAAAAAAAAACTAAATTTGAATAATGCAGAAAAGATACAAACTTTTAGTGAGATAGTTAAAAAGAAAACAAAAGAATATAGTACTGTATCAGTGGAGAGCCATGATCGCCTACGGCCCGAAGGGACGTAGTACGAAGTACACTAAGTATACAGAAATAAATAAAAAAAATACTAGATCTGTAACATTTATTGTTGAATGATTTAACATTAGCACTCTAAAAGCAAACTCTAACAGAAAATTTGATTGAATAATGAAGGATTGTTTTTCTTGAGTAGCATTTAGATAAAGATTAAAGAACTTCCTTTTTTAAGAACCCGAAAGATACCGGGGATGGGGTGGGGGACAGAATTCCAAGCTTAGCTTAGTAAATGTGGCTATCACTCTACTTATCTCCTGTGGCTCTTAGTCTGCTCAAATAAATACAGTTTCCCTCTGACGATTATACGATGAGAAGAGACTTTCCCAGCATTATTATTCCATTCGATCTTGTAACTATACTGTAATACTAATGTGGTGCTGACATTTTAAAAAATAACTATAAACAAAAATTAAAACATTTTTATATACTTATTTGCTCATCAAACCACGATATCCATATTTTAGAGAATTTAATAATGTTTTTAGTTAGACTGGCAGGCAACTTTGTCTATTGAAATCAGAGATCGAAAATACAAACTCAGATTCGGGAACAGCGTTATCATTTAGATGGTACTGCTAATCGTTAATACATTAAAAACTAATGATTTTTCAATTTAAAGATGTGCAGCCCATGAACGAATACGTTTAATTTTCCTTCTTTCTTAATTGTTCCTTCTATTTATTTACGCCTACCGTCAGCGAATTAAACGAATTTTATGTAAGCAAAGATTAAGACGATGAGAATAGTCTCCCTTGAACTGAAGTTGTTACCCCCCCCCTCACACACACTCCGATCTATATGAAGTGTGAGTTATGGTTCATCAGTTAGGTGATATTTTTTGGTTTATGATTATTTAAAGCTTTTGGCAGATCTTTCATACCATACTTCCAAACGGGTTAATTGTTATACTTGTTAAATAAATAAAAATAAAAAAAAGTTTCACATTAAAAAGAGAAATGAAGTGTGGAGTGTATTCTATTCAATTAAATTCATTCATTTCGAAATAATACCGTGGAAAATTAAAACTGAAAGTGGATAATGGCAGTTATAATGACTTTATTTTTATTGAATGATATGATTTTTAGTTTCTAAATTAACACTAAAAATAAATGCAATAAACCGGTTGTAAAAGTAACCAAATAATTTTTTAAATTAATAAGAATGAAAACAAGAAATGTTATATCACAAACTTGTGTAGGAAAATAAAATGAAAATGAAGTATAACTTTTTAAAGATATTTATTTGAAGAAGTTCTGACTAAAATATTTCAACTTCATCACTGCTTTACACAGGCAACACGGTATCTTAAGGCTTTTTAACACTTTACAGGTGCTCAAAAGCAAATTTAGGTGACAAAACAATAGAGAAACGAAAGTATTGATCATTATTCATTATTACTAATTACGCAAATTAAATTCACCGATTGTTTCACAAATTGATTTGAAGAGGGGAAAAACTGTTTAGTTTTACTACTGTAAAATAAAAACTTTTACATTTGTCAGTAATTGAAAATAAAAAGCCTTCAAGAGCGAAATCATTTATTTAAAAAATAATTATCGAATTGTCGCTTTTGCTAAGAAGTGTAGTAAGGAACTTAAATTCTATCATTTAGAAAGATTTACTAAAAAAAAATTACTTTCAAAAACTAAATTTTTCAAGAATACAGGAGTAGGTGCATTTTTTTCAAGGGTTCTTAAAGGGTGTTTCCAGTTTTCACACATAGGCTTTTTCTTTTACAATTTTGTTTCACTCTAAAATGGCTGAGATTTTTTTAATTCTTTTTTGGATTTGGGAAGAAATACATGAAAACACAACACTAACAGTCAATACTAAAAAAATTGAATTGTTTTTTTTTTTTTTTCAATCAAACTATTTCTTTCTTCAAGGAAAAAATAAACTGTTTGCGTTAACCCCCCCCCATTCGAAAATCTTGAAATAGTTGTTGTATTAATTAAAAAAATTCAGCTGTGAAAATTTTGTCAAAATGCCAATTTAAAAAAAAGGTACTCAATTAAATTAAAATTTGTACTACAGTTTTACTTTCAAACAATTTATGATGAACACGCTTGAAAGAAAACATACACAATGCAGCAGCTGAAAATTGCAGTGTATTATTCACTAGATTGGTTGTGCATGTGTTTACCTTGAAACAGTTCTTTAAATATCAAGACTATATCATAATTATATACTAATTAAGATTAAATTTTAAAATGTATTAAGTAAAAGAATAAAAGCTAGTTTATTAATGAGTACTTTCATTCACAGCGATAAACTAAAAAGAGAGGGACGTTAAAAATAAATACTCCTGAAATAATTGCTTGAAACGTGTAAAACTTTTGACGTAAACGCGTGGGTAAGAGAAATGAGAATTCTAAGAATATTATCTAGCTTGCAATACACTCAAGCATGTGACAGATGTTACAAAACTTTATCTATGATTAAAAAATTAAAACAATTTAGGAGATCACCAAGTAAAAACAAACGACATGTATTATACATTTCTTTGGGTGATTTCTTGTTAAAAATTTAAAAAAAAAAACTTTTTCTTTTAAAACTCAATTCTTCAAATTTTACTACTAACTGAAATATTGTTCTGACAAATTTGTTAATTAAATTATCCAATATTATCAATTACCGCTAAAATATAAAAATAAAAAAGTAGATTTTCTTATTGTTTGGTTGATAATTTGATATGTTCCTTTTTTTTAAAATTCTTTTCGGGGTTTGGGAAGAAATACTTGATAAATTTATCACTTTTTAGTTTAACATTTTCTAAAATCAACAAAGATTACGGTCGTATTATGCATACGAACAGTAAGATAAACAGAAAGAAAGAAGAAAACATATATGAAAAAAAGATATTGTAGACAGTAGTATGCAGGTTTTAACCCGAGATTCAATAACTGTTTATTTTTGGGGTTTTTTTTGTTTTTTTTTTTTTACATGAAAAGAAAGTATTTTGATTTTTTTTAATAAAAAATTGTAAAAAATATTATATAGGGAATAGTATCCGATTTACCCAATACTGTGTAACTCCAATTAGTTTTTATTACCTGTGGTCTTTTTTTTTTTCCTCTCTCTCTCTCACACACACACACACACACACACACACGTAAAAACTGAAAAACAAACTCACCTCATCTCCCCAATAGAGAACATCTTTTTGACGATCCTTTAGTTTATTGTACTGATTGATGAATTGTTTAACTCCATGCTTACGAACATGATCGGCTTTTTTCTTCGTCTCCTCCCAAGATAGAGGAGAACCTTCCGACAACAAACCCATCTGCCTTTATTATTCTTTTATTGTTGTTGTGTAAGCTTACAATGTTTAAGTAAGACAAGTACGAAGTCAGTAGAAGTCTCGAAAAGGTATGTTACTGTATTGTTACAAACGACAAAAATCTACACAGTATGAACACGTGTGAATAACGTGCCAAGAAAAGGAGTAAGACTCCAGGTGTTCAGGCAAAGCAAAATAAAAGTAGAGGAAATGCGTAGCGAACGGCACTCAGTCGTTGCCACCAAATACCTGAAGCCGGTGTAAATCAAGTTTACAACTCTTGGGATCATTTTTGCGCATGTGCAAGAAGTAAACGGTGTACAGAAGAAATTATTGGTAAAATTAAAAACATGTTGACGTTATATAATCCAGTTCCCAAATTAAAAACGTATATAAAATTACTTGAAAATAGAAAGACAGAAACAAAGCGACTACTGCTTTTTTTTCTTACTGTGATAAAGAACGCATAAATAGCCATTTTGGAAAAAAGAACGTTTTTTAAATAAATTTAAAAAAAAAATAACATAATGCACGACAAACGCTAAGCCTTAAAAAATGTTTACTTTTTTTTTTTAAATCTCAAAATATGTGTAAAAATGATGTTTGTATTTGTAAACAACCATAATAATTACAACAATACTGCCGACAACATCACAGATCTGCTTCTTCTTAAGTTAATTTATTCAGTTAAAATTTAAGTATGCAATTCCGATTTTCCGGGAAGTGCATATTTAATTTTTTAATTAATATTTAATTTTTTTTAAATTTTTAATGATTTTTTGGTTCCTTTTAAGTGTACAGATAAAATTAAATATTTATTTAAAAATATGCTATTCATTTTTTTTTTTTTTTTGCTTATGAAGAAAGAATTTTATTGAGAAACATCAAATTCAAAATTGCTGTTAAATTATCTGTTAGAAATCAACTTACTCAAGCAAAGAAGCTGTTATGCCCTCAAAATAGCAAATTAAATGGTGTTCTTAGTCACTTCGCTGATAATAACTAGAGAAGTAACCAAAACAAAATTGTAAAAATACATAAAAACACATCATAATAAATGACTAATTAACATAAACTTAAAGATAAAAAAAATAATCCATGTAGTTACGTTGTAGTTTCACTACAATTTATTAGCTTAAAAGATGAATGAACGAACGAACGAACGAACGATCTCAATACCAACATTTCAAAAACGAGGTACCACCACAAATATGGAGGCGTTTTTTGCCGAATTTAAAGCAAAGAATCGCTGTTCACTGTTTTAAAATTATCATAAAACTGGGAAATATCCGATTCAAACGAAATTTCCCGTACTTAATTATTAATGAATTTACATTACTGAATATGTTGTTTTATTAGGTTTGGGGTCTGTTTCACCACACCTTTATCTCGTCTGTACAGTGTACTTTTTAAATTGGGGAATGTTTGCGAAATTTTGATTTTTGAAGTTATAATATAAAGAAAAATCCCCGAAAATGCTATTTCAGTAAAAAAAAAAAAAAAAATGCAATATACCAAATCAAATGTGAACATACGGAAAATTCAAGAACTTTACAATTTAACCATTTCAATACAACCCTCAGTATAATATTGGTTTAGATCCAACATAAACCACTAAGAATTTCATTACATTTTTAGTGCTAATGCCATATCATAATATGACTGACTGACAGTAAATATTTATTATTTATAAATATTTATAATTGTTGACTTTTGACATTGCAGGCTACCGTGCGTAAATAAATGTTATTTTCATTATTTCATTTTTTTATTTCATAAAAAGTAAACATTAGTTTTTCAAAATCAAGTTAATCAATCTTTAAATTTACTAAATTCGAAACACATCTCTAAGACAAATATTGAATTTTTAAGAGATTTTAAATAAAATTTACTTTATATTTTTTCGTTTAATGGCGTTTTCAATGGGTCGATTACTAATGATGATTGAATCCAGTGAGCCAACGTTTTAAAAATGCCTAAAAACTTTATTTACATACGGAAATTATTTTTTCTTTTAATACGGATTAGCTTTCAAATAAAACCATTTAATTTTAAAAAAGACATTTAAATTATTTAAATTGAGTTTCTCAGGGGATTTTGCTTTTGTTTTTTAGGGCGGTACCTATCAAAATCTGATAAGCATATTTTTTACCGCCCAAAAAGTGGATCAAAATTTAATATAAATGGCATACTAAGTAGAAACACAATGTAGCATAGTCGATGTAGCTAAAATGAGATTCAGAAAGCAAATATATGTACCCAACCACCTTTAAATCTGGGGTAGGTACCTTCCTTCACAGATTCGCTAAAAATTAGCATACCATGATGAAAAAATGCCACAAATGTAATAAAAACAATCTTTTATCGCCAAATCCTTTATTATTAAGAAGACATACCAAAATATTTTTTATTATTCAATTATATTTTTATCCTTTTTAAAACGTTCTAAATTTGGGTTAAAAATTTTGTTTTTCTTGAGTCAGTGGGTGACCAAAAATTATTATAGGAAATTTTTGCGTCTTTTTGCGATGAAAAAGACACTGATGTCTTAAGAAAGATTTTCGATGAGTAATGAATTTTTACAAGAATTGTTTTAATTTTTAAATTTTAATTAGGATAATTTATAAAGTTTTAAATCTTACAAATTTCTGTATTAATTTGTACCGGTTAGGTGATATTGTTATTAAGTAAAAAACTATATTTACTAATCATAAATGGTAAAGCTTAGTATAATTCAGCGAGCGACCACTAATATTTTAAAAAGAATGTTGAATTTTTTGGCGTGTGTACAAACGTGCCGAATCTTGTAAATACGGATGTTCATACTCGGCATTATCAGAAAATAAGAGCGATAACTATAATAAATTTAAAGCCAAAGTACGTAAAATTCAGTATGACATTAAACTACGGAGAATATTTTCCTAAATTTTTAAGATTATTGGGTAGTTAAAATTATATATAAAAAAGACGTTCACGTTATATTTCTCAAGTATTTTTTTTTCAGATATATCTCCCAGTAGAAAAAAAAATAGATAAACTTCTGGCTGTCAGTCAAGCTGTCAACATGGGATCACTTTAAATAAACACCTACTCCTGCGTTAAACGGGCATCTTTGCGATATTTTGGACTAAAAGTAAGTAATAAAAATTGTTTCAAATCAGGTTAATTAAACTTTAAATAAGCTAATATTCCTCAAATAAAGTTTCAAAAAAGTATATTTTATTTTTGAAAGATTTTTTAATAACGAGAATTAATTTGTGCTGACAGATGGCTAAAAATTGTGCTATAATTAGAGACTTTTAGCGATTTCAAGACGAAAACTCCTTCCAGTCATTTTAAATTAGTTTTGAAATGCAGCAAAGTGTTTTGCTTATTGGAAATATTAAATTTAATCTATTAGCTTGAAATTAAAGCTAAAATAAAAACTTCAAGAAAGGTTTTTCATTTTTAAAACTTAATTTTAAAGCTTATGTGTCGCGTTTCTTTGAAGGTACCTAAATCTGGGGTAAACGAAATTAGTGCCAAGTTTTAGAGATGTTTGATTTAAATTGAGTTTTTATAATACAAAACATTTGAAATCATATTATTAACCAATTACGAATAAGATTTTCTGCAACTGTTGAAAGCGATTTCATCCTAATTTTACCTTTAAATACGACTAATGATCGTCTGCCGGTAGTCACAGCTTTCGCCTGTCAAGACAAAATGTCAACCCACCATTCTGCTTTAGCTTGCCTAACGGACTCCGCCAAATGCTGCAGCGTGACATTTTCACTTCCAATACGAAGACATTATTCTTCTATGGGCTGTGCCGTGTTCCTTCAGGACGTGTGTGATCATGACTCTCCACAATTTCCTCTCCTTTGTAGCTCTTAATATATTTTTTTTTTTTTGCTCTCTCTTAATCCCTGTTCTACCAATCATTTCACAAGTTCCTATGCGCTGCTTTTCATCGCCTCTCTTGCCTTTAATATGTCCTGTAACTTTAAAAATTTCCAAACCCTTTTCATCATTATGTACCCTAAAAATTTCAATTGTCTCTTCCTGGTATAAAGTATAAGTGTCTTTTTTGTTTCCATTTTCCCTAAAACTTTGTCGTTGCTCAAATATCCAGTCCATAGTATTTTCAACATCCTTATGTAGAATCACATTTATATTGCCTCAGATTTCTTCTTCATCTGTGAAGAGATTGTCCACTATTCACTGCCATATAGAAAGACTGATTTTACATAATAGTACAGTACTCTTCTTTTCTTTCCTTTTTTTTCTAACAAAATTTTCCTCTTTCTTAATACTTTGTTTAGCTTTTGGAAGGCAACCTTCGCAATCCAAATGGGCTTTTGGATTTCGGTTCCGCATTTTCCATCCTCTGTTTAAACATTTCCTATGTATTTAAATTTTGGTTCTTGCTTGATTTTGGTATCTCCAATTTGTAATTGACATCTTAATTTCTTTTTGATTATAAATGTAGGTTTACCCCATTTGGCTCCGCCAAAAGTGACTGTTTTTTTAATTCTATATAAATGCAAGCATATTCTTTCTTTTTTCATTTTTCCTTTTGTTTCCAGATGTAGTCGAACGTAAATAAAGAACGCTGCCGTTGAGGTGCGTTCGCTTCCTTGTTTCTCTGTTGACTGAACTCTCGCACATACACATACGTATGCCACACACGTTTATTTCACACACACACACACACACGCGCGCGCGCATAAACAAGCACATTCTTATAGCTAGTTTTTGTTTTTCCTTTTAATTCAATTTTGTTAATGACATGCATTAATTGTCGTTTGTTTTAAATTCCATTTTTTGTGTTACTTATGTTTATCCGGACTCACATGAGCTCACCAATATTGTTTGCGGGACAAATGATCCAGAAGTCCATAAATATCTACTATAACACGCCCACACGCTCGTATCAATAGTGAAAAATGCCACAACAAAGTGGTGACTTATTTTTACCCGAA